ATCATAATTTATTATCGTTGTCAATTCGAGTAATTCATTATATGGGGAGTGCATGACGAAAAGTTTTATTGTTTCAATGAACACATTAGAAGTAAGTGATGTTTGGTGACGGTTGAAGTATGCTATACAGTAGAAGTGATCGTATCCATCCATCCATTTGATTTACGTAGCAAATCACCATGTTAGTAGTCACAGTTGGTCGATTTCGATGTTATAACGTAGTTGTTTCGCAGAAAACCACGAATAATAGTTGTCAAATTCGATTATGTCTGCAAGCAGCGTTTTACAGCGAAGTCATTTGTCGCTATTGATCTCAATTACGGCCGGCCTTATTCATAATACACAATTAAATTTCATAACTCAATTAACTCGACTAATAATAAAGTCAAAATGTAATGAAAGTTTATAAAGTATTGATAAAAATCGTAGGAGCGTACATCTTCCAGCATTTTCACAAACAATTGATCCAGTAGAAGGAACTTGTGAGCATTCAAGACGAATGTAAGGGAATACCGTATCCATTTCAATCAGATTATTTGCATGACCTGTTTTATCGTATCGGATTGCGAAACCGATGTCCTCATCAGAAGTCATATACTGCCAACTAGAATGTTGATATTTAAACATTTTGAGACAGGTGGTAGAAACACTTTCGATGCAATCAGCTTTGAAATTCCCATTGAAATACATTTCTCCGTCAATTTTCAGGTAACAATTGTAGGAATATTAAAATTGGTTTTGCATATTACAACAGCATTGTGGCCATCTTCGTGATAACAATTTGAATATATCGTTTGCCCAGATACTTTACAGATGACAACTTATTGTATCAATGCAAAAAACTGTTGAAGCAAATGTGGAATGCAGAATTTTTGACGGCGATAGCCAGAATTACAGAGAATGATTTGTTATTTTCTCCTGTGCGATAAAACTGGCAGTCTAACAAAAAATACAGAAAAACTTAAACAGCCCAATTTTACAGTCAAAGTTTACGAAGTGCCTGGAAAATATGAAAGTCAACTGAAAAAAAAGAAAGTTGCGAGGCAATTTGAGAGTTTGAAACCTTATTCGTGTGTTCGCTTCAACATTCATTTCAATAAGATGTTTTTCACCCGCGTAAATCGTTGTCAGTTGATCGTAATCAGGCATTGCTGTATCAGCATGCACAAAATACGAATCCGGAATAGGTCCAAGACCGTAACGGATTTTTGACGGACATTTCGGATCGCCGTTCTCATCACACAATTTACCACCCCAGTGCACTGGCCACGAATCCAGTTCCACATACTGTGCTAAGGCAGTTTTCCATTCGTCCACTGAGGGCATTTCAATCAGTTCCTAGAGTAGTTCACTTTACTTTAATTCATTTTCTCCACTCTGTAATTAAGTGTGCTGAAAATGTATATTAAATCAATGATAATTTTTAAATTTATGCAAAAAAGAGGCAATTATCTGCATAGATAACAATTCTTTTTTCCAACGTCCAACTTGTGCATGAGGCCGTTAGTCACAATTTAATCAGAATCAACATGTACTTCTTTAGAATCTGCTGTCTTACTCCACGACAGATAACCAAAGTAATACTCGTATTCGCTCCACTTCCGAATTACATTCATCCGCAATTTTTAACAGCAAAAAAAGCAATGCATTATTCTAGCTCAGTACGTAAGTTTTTCCTTCACAAATCAGCAATTAAGCGAGTCGTTGAAAACTATTCATCGATAACTTTATGTGGACTTATTCCGCTCGAACCTCGCACCATCTTAACTATTAAATTATGTACTTCTTCAACAGATACAAAAGACGAAACTGTTGACGTGATTGAATTCAATTTTTCATATACTGAATTATTCGTGGTGTTACTATGCGCAATTCATTGTTTCTCGTCCGAGTGGAATACTTTTTATTTTACATGATGAAGAAAGAGGAACATTGCTACGATGTGTTATGCTGGTTGCATCGATGAAAAGGGGAATAGAGCAACATCAGCATCACTAGTATTAGAGAACATCGAATAACGACAACAACGTCAGATAAAATAAACTGGTTTGTCACCAACCAAGTCGAAGTTGATTATTTGATGTGTTGAAACAAATTAATGATTATATGAATATATAGATCATATCGACACAAAAACGCATCATCAATGATAAGTTGGTTTAAAGGAAAGTTAATGTGATTACTATTATTGTAATTCATTTGTGATGAGTTCAACACTACCTACCTTTGAATTGACTAGTCCATTGTACCTCATACATTATGTTTTCAAAAAGGATCAGACACCAAAAAAAAGAATATCTTTTTCTTATTATTGATATTTTGAACGCTTCAGTTGAGAAACATGATACTCTCTTCAAGAGGTGCATATTATGACAGTATACTTCATGAATTTAAGAAATGTTTTATTCGGCGAATTTGATGAAGTTAGCGAACTGAGAGGACACGTTGGCAACAGATGTTAGTTAATTTATGAAAGTGATGAGGAATGCAAAGATTAAATTTTGTTCTGTTATGAGCCATTGACGGAATTTCGCTCAAGTTTCAGCGATTGCCGTATGAATCAATAATGCACGAAAAACAAGTCTAATGCAACTATTGATAGTAACTGTGATGTCAAGGAGAACGATTTCAATAGAAATAGTAACTGTGATGATGTCTTCCCTGCTGGAACAGATGAACCAATACATTAGGCGTGAGAAAAGGAAAAAGACAATGAGTAATGAAAATTATTATTTTGCTGGAGAAACAGATGAACATTGTAAACGAATGAAACATACCTGGATTTTATCAGAGAGGAAGGATGTCATCGTGTTGAAGGCGACTCGTGCCATTTCGGGTGCTCTTATAATTAGGATTTTTTTTAGCACTAGCGGGTAGTGTTCTTGAAAGAGCATGATCAGTGTGGTAAATGATGAGGCGAACTGTTTACTTGAATAATGTGCACTGCTGATATGATCCAAATCAAATACGAGCATCATCTGCTCGAATGGATGACCGGTCTGCAAAATAAAAATATTCTTTCATCCCCAAATACTGCCATTTTTCAAATTATTGTTAAGTGCCAAACATGAACACTAATATTTCAAGTACAGCTACCGCTACGGATACGTTAACTGCATTCAGTGCATGGAAGCAACCATTTCGAACAATTTCCATTTATATCAACCCAACATTGCGCTTCTCTTTGACTTGCAAGCTTCATGGTACAAACCTCTTTGCATTTCTCATCACATAATTTCATGCCTCTTTCGATTGCAGCTAATGAATATTTGATATAATCGCTTGATTGCACCGACCTTAACATTCCTTAAAACGTATCTGCTTAATCAATAGAATTGACTGATAACTTCGTAACATGGCGATATGACTGATTTCTGGACAAATTAAAAGCATAGCAGCTCATCAAGTCAACGAAAATATCGCAAATGTTTTCAGTTTATATGTAACAAAAAAAGATAAAAACGACACACATAAATACTCACCTTCAACGTCCATATTTCCCAGCAAAGACATGAGAATGGGAAAACCATCTTTATCTGATAGAAATCCATAGCCACAATATTTTTCCAATATCTGAAAGAATTCATTCGAAACATTAACAAGCCAACCACCTTGAATAAATTTCGAATAAAAAAGTCACATGAATAAATTTTCTTATTAGCCAAGATTTTTGAGTTGAAATCAATCGTAAGAATAAAACTACGAAGGACAAAATCGACAAAATGTTGTCAGAAAACGCAACAGTACTGATGCAAATGATTGGCAAATTTCGCAATCAGTGCGTCAAGAATCAAATCGACGCTGAGCTTTTGAAACGTTGACGGTGATAACTGGTTATTTGCTGATAAAATCAGCATTCGCGAGAAACGAATGTTTTTGTGCATTCATAAATAATAGAATATCGACGCACAATTTTCTATCCCTTTCTTCAACTATGAATTATTCAAAGCAAGCCATCTATACCACTGAGAAATATCATTGTTATTCTAAAAGTGCAGCACGATGCGCGATTTTAAGTTTATGCTAATTGATTCGATTTCATTTCACAATGAATGCACGTTTCTAAGATTGTATTTGCTGTGTCAATTTTTCGCTCATGCACACCTGTACAGATAAAGCGACAGTGGAAAAAACAAACAAATTCATTGGGATGTATTAGTTCATACACACCTCAGGTGCGTTCCATTGCTCGATCTCATCCAAATGCCACGCTTTCCGAAACACAACATGTTTTCTGAGTGCATCAGCCGTTTCATCAAATCGTCCGTCACGGGATCTCAGCCATCTATAATGCTGATGAAACATCACCTCTTTGAAAACCGGTTCTCTCACTGACCACTCAAAATTTGCTTATTTCATTCAAAATGCGTTGCGAATCGAAAATACCAAATTGAATAGGTATATTCAACAAATCGCTATTTCCATTGCAGCAAAAAAAAACGCTGACAACAATGCACAGCGCCGTAGAGTTGCTATTGTCACTGAGCAGCTTTATTCAGCAAGAGCCATATCCGTCTTCAATAATTTCACCGCGAGTGAGATAAAGTTTTTAGTCCGTTTCAAAATAATGAGTATTTTGCAGGCACTCTATTTTGGTTTTCGAAGAACTATTTACTTACTGATAACGACATGAAGAATCAGACAAGATTCGAAAAACACGAACGGAAGACTGGAAAGAGAATACAATAGTTACCGACCATCTAGTCAGTTGTTTCAACATCCATTTTTGGATACATCGAAATTGATTAGTTGATCATAATTTGTAACATTTCAATGTGATATGATGGACAACTATTATGACGAAATCTTCTCACGTTATTGGTTTCTAACTCGCTATTAATCATTATCTCATTAATCAACTTACAATTAGCATAAACTTTAGAGCACTTCCAAAGATTGCTGCTCAATGAGCTGTTATGAATTTGTATAGTATTTCTGAAAATCATTTCCGATATGATAAAGAATAAGAATGCACACATTTTCAATGGTAGCAGCTCAACGATTGCATCACTTCATACTCACACGCAAGAACATTTTCTTGAGAATTGTTCCACCCCAAAACCCTATCCTCACACTGAACTGTTGTCCATCACACAGGTTCCTCTCCAAAAGTCTCCTTGACCTTTTCTCACATCGCACACCGACAGAAACACACACACATATATGCATGCACGCAAACGCACACACATACAGCAGTTAGCTGGTATGGAGAGCAAGCGTTGTTTTGAAGGACGATGAACGATTAGACAGACTCTCTTCGCGATGGATGGATGCATTTCGAAATGACTATTTGAAAGGGATTCATTTGGAATACACTGCTTTTTGATTTGTCTTTCAAAGGAAATTTAGCGTTTTCTTTTAAACCAGTAACTTTGGAAGACAAATAAAGTTTCAGATTGGTTCTACTCAATTAGGTTTTAGGATTTAAGATTATGTTTATTTTGAACTTCTTTAATGGAATTCTTTCTTATACTGTTAGTATTGAATGTTTTTTAAAATATGGGAATTGGATGTGAAAAATGCTTACTGTATTTGTTACAATGAAATGGATCAAGCGGAAATTTTTGAGCATTTTGAATAGAATAGCCTTTGAAGATTGAAAGGCTCAAAGTCCACGGTGGATCTTCTTGGGACGAATTTCTGGCTTGTTGATTAATTATTAATGAAAACGTTAGATAAATTCATGACAGAATGTGGATACGGTCATTTGTCGATATTAGTACCCAAAACTGTAATTTGTGGCCGATATCGCTTACTTTATGTATAAGTACTACAACCAGTAATAAAACTTTTTGTAAAGAATTTGAAGGCAAAAGTTTTTCAGATGACGTTGACGAATTTTTCGTCAAAAATTTGAGAAATATTCTATTACTGCAAGTGTATATCATAAATAAAGTTACACTTTGTGGTAACGAAAAGTTGAAATAGAAATGTTTCAATTTCACAGTTAAAAAGAATGAACACTAAAACGAGGTTCATCCCGGAATATTCACAAACAGGCTGGCCATAATTTCGAATCGGGCCTGAATATTTGCAGTTGTGGAAATTGATAGAAAAGAATACGTTGATATGTGGGGCTGCAGTTAATGACTGAATAAAGAAAAGACTGAAATTGCGATAAGATCCGGTAGGTTATGATAAGGTGTAAGCTGAAGAATATAAAAGGAAATAAGCTGTTTGCATGATGAGCCTCTTCACTGACCTGGTGATATATCCATCCGTAATGCCCTCCAGAGAAGGCACCACAGTGCGCAGATCGTCAATCGCTCGTTTCTCGGCATCCGAAAGGGGCTGCCGCGTGCGTGTTGTTGTCGATGGCATCACTGAAATTCATTGTCGAAGTGAAACGAATCAGAGAGTTGGTCATGAATGCTACTATACCAAAACAGTGTTCTTCTCCTCTGTTCATCTCTGTATGTTTTGTGATTATTGCATGTTCACGATCATCGAAGGTGCCACGCCTCCGTGTAACCCGCCTATAACGAAATGAACGAGCATAATGGTGTTGTATGCACAGTACCCTCAAAATTCAACTCACTCTCACATATTTTGTCACGCATCTGTTATTAAAATCTGATATATCTTAAAAATGAACGGTTCGATCGACAACACCGCAGTTATTGAGCAAATTCTGTATGCCCTTCTTTATGCTACATTCCAGCCATTTTGCTCGCCTTAGATCTGTTATGGGGATCCGAATCCATTTCTGCGTGATGATAATTTCATATGAACTTGCATTCGCCCTTAGGTACGGAATGACTGAGTTTATCCGTGAATCCCAAATTCGCCAAATATTCCTCCTGTTTTACGAATTCATGATATCGGTGAATATTATGAACTGCATCATTCATCATCACCGAACGATTCGAATCTGCACACTTCGAATCGTATCGTATTGCAATTATCGAATTACCTGTAAGGCTTAATATGAGGACATTTGAATAGTCTTTGTCTTTGGCACAAATTTTATTTATCGTTTTTCAAATGCAAACGTATCGTAGAGATGAAAATTAAAAACGACTGCACAAAAACATCAACAGTAATAATCACAGCAAGACAACTCGTAGAAAATAATGGTGAACAAATCAGCACAAAGTGTTCTACATCATTCTATTGAATCGCACAATAGCACTGAATTATTGTGATAGTTTGTCAGGACCTCCAAAAAACCACGATAACACTGTTGTCTGAAATCAATCTTGTTCGACCTCAGCAGATTCACTGGAAAACATTTCGATCGATAATATGAGCTGAATATATTGCATTAGGTGATGTCATTCTGTAGTTTTTTTCACTAGCTTTACTACGAAACATGTTTATGGTGCATAAATAAACCTCATGTATTGTGGGTCTCAAATAAGCATCATAGGTGAGCAGTTGATCGATTGCGTCGCGACACGCGATAGTAGGGATAATATGATCCGGATATTTGTAGTCTCGTAATCGTTGACAATTGGTGAGTTGAACCACATTCATATGATGGTCGAATGGATAGCGAGCTGTAAGAAGTGCATAAGACATTATGCCTATAGCCCTGAAAAGTGAGAACCGAGGTGAGTTGTGATTAAAAGTCTTGATCCAATATGAATCATTTGCTCATTACGTAACATATTTCAGTGAACAATTCAAAGCACTGCAATCGAAGCAGACCCTATTCATCTTATGTTCAAGGCTTTGATTACCTACTTGCCTTATCAGAAAGGTTGCATAATACAAAATAATATTGATTTTCTTCACTGATTGGAACGCTACTAAAAAAAGTAGTCCCGCCAGTCGCTGATTCGCTAAAAGAAATATTTTTGTTTTGCTAAAAATGACTCGCTACTATTAGCGCCATTGACGAAAAAGTAGTGAAAACTTCTTGTTGAAAGTGCCGCTAATCGGAAGAAATAGCAATAGTTTACGCTAAAACATTGCTCGGCAAATTTAGCAAGCTGATTGTTACTTTCAAATCTTCCCTAAGAATTTGCAATCACATGGCTGATTCATCAGGAAATAGACCTCACTACGGCAGCAACTTCATTGTACCGTCACGTAAGTCACATAGATTAATGAGCTGATTGTCAGATGGAATGTTAGTGGTGCACTCATAGCAAGTATTTGAGGTGTAATGGACTACGAGTAGGACTGGTTCGAATTCAACACACCACTTTTAATGTTGAAAAAATTAACATCCTTTACAGACGAAAAGAGGCAGGTTAGCGGAATAGTAGCATGTTAAAACGCCAACTAAAGAAATTAGCGTATGCTTCGCTACTTATGCCGCTAAAAATTGTTGCAGCGCAAGTTATCGTTACACATTCCCGCTACGTGAAAAGAAATAGTGAGCTACCGCAATACCGAAAGAAGTAGCTTCGCTAGTAGCGGAATGGCGAAATAGCGTGATATTGCCCACCACTGCTTTTCTCTACAACCGAATAAAGCAAATAGCTTCGAGGTGCATCAAAATCAAACTAAACACGGCTCATAAACTAACCACACGTCCGCTTTGAATGGTAGATAGGGAAGTTGCAAAAGAATCTCAGGAGCCATGTATGGTCTTGAACCGCAATAGGTCCTTGATGTTTCTGTTTCAGACTTCTGAATGGAAAAAATTTGGTTATTACATTTAAATTTACGCACGATTACAGGGCTTATACGGAATAATTAGTAAGATAATGTCATTCAAAGGGGGATGCTGCAACAAATAAAATGGTACTTTGAAGGTTACAGCTCCTGAAATCATAACAACGAATGTTACGTCTACTTCATACAGTAATTCAAGTCAAACTGATTTTAAGTGATAAAATAATGAATATTAAATGGATAAATCGTTCATTCCAAACTGATATAGGTATGTTTTACATAGCCTAGTTCTGATGAGTGATGTCTCTATATCACCTTGAAAACTGTTCTATTCTATTCTTTTGGGTTTAAAATGGCTCTATACAATTCTGTTCTGTGCGTTCCTCGTTTGCGAACTGTTCTATTCTAGTCTTTTTAATAGAACAGGAAAGAATAGTTTAACTGGAATAGAGACACCACTAGTTCTGATGTTCACTAGTTTTCTCGGCAAATACAACTATTGCAACAGAAAAGTTGATTGTAGCTCACAATATGATCAAGTATAAATCCGAAATCTGCAACTTTTACTGTGCCATCTTCAAACAGCAATATATTTTCTAGTTTCAAATCGCGATGTGCTATCCATCGTAAATGCATGTACTGTACACCAGTTATTATTTGCCACATCCACGTTTGCACTACATCTTCTATTGCAGGACCGTTGTGCTTGAGGTGCGTGTACTACAAAGTTGTGAAATTTATATAGATGACTCGTTGAAATTATGGTAAGTTTAGTGTGAAAATGCTAAACTTTGTACTGATATAAGCATATTTCGCCTCGCAATTAGTTCAAAATAATTGAATCTAAATGAATTATCAGAAAACAACTAAGATAAATGATCTGGTTCATTCACGCAAACTGAGAAATACCGAGCTTCTGTGACATCTCCACTGCATTTCATCTATTTATACTCCGAAATTTGTTGGCTTCTTGTTACGCATCTTCGTTAAATCTTACGAAGAAAATTCAGTGTTTTCAGGCGATTCGCAAGTGAAATCACTTACTAAGGTGCCTCTTTCGGCCAATAATGAAACGAAGAACAACTTTTCATCATCTTCAAAGAATTCCTGAAGTTCTAAGATACGGTGATGCTTCAATAATCGCCATACACGAATCTCTCGCGCGATGAATTCATTCTTTATTCGTAACGGCAACTTCTGCTTATCAACTACCTTGATTGCTAACTGCAATAAATCATTTCATTGCTACAAAAACTTCATTTCACGCTCTTACTTATCAAATCAATCGATAAAGGAATGGAATGATCAACCAAAAAATTTATCCCATCCAAAATTCGCTGTCTGTCAGATAGAATTATTCCGCAATTTCAAAATTCTGAACGCTTATCCAGTGAATGACAATCATTGAATTGAGTGACTTTAATTGAACCTCCTAGTTCCGACGTATATTCAAGACATGAATTAGTGTGATAAATGGAAATAATTTTTACTTTATTAAGATTAAACGCAATTGAGAGTGACCGAAAATGATCACTGTTTGATTTCCAAAAAGTTAGCATATCAAATTTCCAAAAGCGTTCAAAAATCACGATTTCAGACAAACGGAAGACACTTGCTCCTAGCTCATTCCATCAGTCAGTTATTCTGATCCATTCAACGAAACCTTAACTCGACATGGCTGTTTTTTACCTGTTGACGGCTCCCATGAAGGAACACTTTGAATACTTGTCCAAATCGACCTTTACCAATGAAAGGAACATCAGCTAACTGGTATCCATGTTGACTAATACTTATGGCCAGATCGAAAGCCTTCAGAAAATCCAAGTGATTCTCTCAATTAACCATAAATTCGAATATTAAAAATATGGAAAGAATGCAAATTACTGAGTTGTGCGAATGCAACTGAGATCTGTACCTCCAATTCACTGCTTTCTTGTCGTATTGGAATTGCATCATGAAGTCTTTGAAACGCACGCTCCATTATATCATACTGTCGTGAGCCTGCAGAAACTATAGCAATACTGGATGATTTCGTATTGGATGTTTCACTTCCTGAGCTAAATACGTCATCCTGAAAGTAATAAAGCAATATTAAGTTTCACAACCTGCGCACATTTCTTGGTCTAAAGATACTTGATGGTGCTTGTATAATAAAAATTTGAATCGAGGATGAAAAAAGAATGGCCGAAATCGAGAATACAAATGGCAAGCCATTGTGTCTAGTGTTCGCACGGGATCTCGGTAGTACCGAATATCAGTATTAGAAAAGCGATACCGATCTTGGGATTCGTGGTGTCGATATTCACGGCATTTTCGGTATTCATACCACAAGTTATTTTAAATTAATTTAGTAGTATATCCATCACGACATGAATCATACCCATTTCTGTTTTTTGTTGTATTTTTTGTTGAATTTGTTGAGCTTTGGTGAGTCGTTTATTAAATAAATTGTTTTCTAAATAATTATGAACACGTTGGACCAAAAAAATGTGTTGAACAAGCCATATCCCAATAGTTCAAAAGCCGCTTTTCAATACCGGTATCGTATCGGTACTGAAAAACGATACTGGTATTAATACCGATCTCAGTATTGAGAAAATGGTCCATATTTTGCAAACACTATTTGTGTCCTCGATTTTTGCAGGTTACACACGTTTTCGATCCTACACAATATTGCTTCTAAAAACTGCTACAGGTAAGCCCGCACTAGACAGAATTTGAAGCTTTCTTCATCATGGGAGTGGATTGAACGAAGCACAAAGAAAATCCCTGATGGACGTTATGGCTAGCTGTAAGAAGATTTTCTAAGATTTTAGAAGATGCAGGACTGATTGTAGTGGGGGAAAATGTTGAGCGAATGGAGAAAGTAATGGAGTCTGTGTCTGGCACGCTCGTTCGGTAAAAGACGGTGTTGAGCACATATTTGAGATGAAATCACAATTTCGAAACGAATATTCTATTTTAAATCACTTAGAATTTGCTGCTGATTTGCTATGGAACAACTGCAAGCTATCTTGAATCAGTTCTAGAACAATGAAGCAAAAATAAACGAACCAAAAGGTTTATTCAGAAAAGCCACCAGTCTTACTTGAATTTACACCAACAACTATTTGCGATACTCCACTTGAAACAATGAAAGAACTTGCGAAGAACAATTCAAACAGTTCCTTGCAGCTGACATGGCCGCATTTGATGCGGATATGCAAACTTTTTGAAGATACTTTCAAAACTTCATTGCGCATCTTTTCTGTGTCACACAATCAAACTCATTCATACTTACAATAATTGCGCTCATACCGTATGATTTCAACTCATGTGTATTGAAATGATATTGCTGACACGTTGCAAGTGAGCTGTTTAACAATAAGCTACAAATAACAGGCAACGAAGCAAATTTAGATACATTAAATAATCCAGTGCAATCCTTACTTTCTTGAATACACTGAAAATTTTGCAGGCGATAAACTCAGCGTGTTGTACTGTAAATTTATTTAGTTGTTATACTCAGTTTTTCACAACACTGTCTATATCTCCCACTTCCTGTACACAGACGAAGTTGTGTTTAGAAATTATCCCGTGGTATATACTGACTGATTTTTAGATTTTTTGACATTCAATTTTTAACCGCACAATCGTTGACGTTCATATAAACTCTATTTTAATCGGGAGGCCCATCTCCAAATTTTTTTGAGCCGATCGCAATTTCGGGCTCTCGACTGTCAAATTTCGTCACCGACTTTTTCTGTCCTCATAAAACATTAATTTGGTAAGCTTTTTTGGTCATTTAGCTATGAATGCAACCACTTTCAGATGTTTATTTATTCAATAAAAATGCACCAATTCAAAAAATAAACAGACTATCCGAAGAACAAAAATAATATGACAAAATGACCGAAATGAAATGAAAACGGAACACTCCAAAACACTGATATCTGTCTCAACCTGATACAAACATCAAAAAAAAGAACCAACAATCCAAATTCCGATCATAAGAGAACGAACGATAAAGCAGAAAGTTAATGGTGATTATCAGCTAGAATAGTTGAAAACATGATAAACAAAGCGCGCATAAGTAATCTGATTCAGTAATGACTCCAAGTTCATCCAATTTAAACGACAAATATCAAGAACTAATCATGCAACAAGACATAAATCTCATCCAAGAGTCATGTGTAAAACAGACGACTGCATTCATGAAATGAACTGAGTGATAAGAGCAAATAACGAACACGACATTGAACAAACATATGGGCAGAACGATTGCTTCGGTAAAGCTACAGGTGAACTGAACAAGAGATCCGAAAAAAACTTCAAAATAAAGCGATCATTCGAGACGAACGACCGAAAGTATGTAAGACCGAGGATCACATCTTGAAAAACCAATATAAAATACAGCAAAATGATGGAAAGTCAATAATGAATGAAACTGGGCAATACGCGAAGGAGAGGGAATCAAAACTAAAAAAAGATGAAGATTCAGTCTGTTACAGAATTTAATTGCAAAATCTGTTCGATTACACTACGATAGCTTATCAATCAAATCTAAAACTTTCTGAACAGTCAACCCGAAAAAAATGTTGTCGAAGAATATACCTAACTGAAACGACATCTACCAAATAGAACAACCAACAATCAAACACATCACCTTCATGACACACATAGCCATATCGTAATACAAATATTAAACGCACTCATTTTGAGGGCATCAAGACTGTTGAACTACCCAATCATCAAGTAATAAATTCCTTTGTTCTAGCTAAGTGATAAAAAAAGGGACAGAAATATTTTCACGAAAATATAACTTCACGGTGGTTTGAAGGCGTTTATGGATGAAAGAAAAACGGGATAATTAGGACAATGAAATTAAATGTGGATCAGCGCAAAAGTAGAAGCGAATACAAAAAATTTTCCAAAATGAGAGAATCCAGCTGCTATCTTTCAAACTACAAACAACCGGAAACATGTTATCGTCGTGAATCGCATATCCATCAGCATCCTCTTCAGTTCGGTTTCACGTGTTCTTCAAATTCACGACGTGCTGCTGCAAAACAACGAAAAATTTACATATATTTCGAACGAAATACTTCAACAATAAACATCAATAGTAGAGTCAAAAGTCTAGCAGAATTTTTGTATAATATGATAAAAAGAAAACCATTCTCAATACTTGACAGATAGAATGGTTAAGAACAACTATTAGCTCATAACACTTATCTCTTCTACTGCAACAATTTGTGTAGGCAAATGAAAACGAAAACGGATGCGCGTATGTATCCATACGACAATGATAGTTCATTGATTAACAAATTGTTCACTGATTTCGAAACCGTAAAAAATAATCTTCGCAGACAGTGAAATAAAATGACGAACCATTAGCTGCATCAGCGACGACGCCAGTGACCTGTCCAATTCGTTTATCAATCGATGATTGATGCTTCAATACGAACGGCTGCACAAAACGATGGTATATTTTCTGAGCGCCCAGCGTTGTTGGCAAATACAAGTAGAGTAGGAAGAGGCACTGAAATATATATTTATATGGAATATTTCGTTAGCAGTAAAGTGGAAGAAATTAACTGAAAAGAATGCCATCAAAGAGAAAGAAACAAGAGCATTGGGCAATAATCATTCTCCTAGTCAGTCAGTCTCTTGGTTTGTTTTCTACATCTAGAAACGGCTACTGTTTCCATCAATCAATCAAACATAACAAATGATGAGAGAATGCGAATGGTTGAAAAACTGAAGAAAGTTCAATACCTTGAACAGCCAGTAGAATGGCACATACTGAGTGAATGATTGTGAGAAGAACTCAATTACATTAAGCAGTGCAAAAATCACCCAATAAGTAAGCCATTGTGTATCGTCATCTTTGTCAGCCGTTTCAATCGCCTTTAGTCTGGAATAATTCATTACTGAAATTATCAGAAGAATTTGATGAGCTTCCACGGTAGCAACAAAGGTAATGAGTGCATTGTTAATTGTTGGTTACGTATATAACACATTTGTGGTATCAGTAATTCGATTAATTGAAATTGTGAACATCACCGAATCATGTAAATGATTCTGTAGGATTTTTGGATTTCAATGAGATAATTTTTGATATCGACAGATTGACAAAAACAGTGCACAATTGAAGAAAATTAGTATTATTGCAAAACTGCAATCATGCGAAATCAAATTAATCGCTCTTCTCTCACTACGAAATTATTGACTGACACTTCATATCAACGATCAGAACAGTTGGTTATTAATCTAAAAAAATTATTTGCAAAAGCTTTCGCTGGATGAAAAGCCGCTAGTGGTTGTTAATTTACAAATGCGTCAGGTATATATGCACACAAAGCAACACAAGAGCTAACCGTATGAGACCAGAATTCTTATCTGTCACGAGTTGCATTCTGAATATTCAATTCAAAACAGATGAATCGTCGAAATTTTATTGGTGCGATAATTGCGGGATGACTAGCGAGTACAATGTGTTACCAAAAGAAAGGATTGCATTTCACATTCGAAAGTTGATACAATCTTTTTTTTTTCTTATTTTATATACGACTCCATGCTGAGCATGAGCCATACAAGCAAAATCCAACAACCTTGCAGACATTAAACGCTACAAAGATGTCGCCTAAATTCATTAACGACCAGTAGCTATCGATGAGGCTTGCTGATATAAACGAACGCACTTTAATGAATGCGGCATATCTCAACCTTAGCATTACATTCCCACTCTGCATACTTGTGCAATTAGCACAAACAAGATTTTCAATTTTAATGCAAATTACAAATAAGAATGATAGTATAACCTACGATACATACGCCGGGTATAAGAATCCAATCAAATTACACAGCAATTCTGCGCAACCACCGAAAATGAGATACAATGCTTGAAGCGCTATGAACCCTGGAAATTAACGACAAAATTGGTTAAGCATTTATAGCCTTTGAAGCAGTCATAACATCAATGGATCACAGCAAATATGAAAAAACTAGATATCAAAAATAACACGGGAAAGCAGTTGGCAATATGAAAAATCAACCAACCAGCCAATATGTGAAGACGCTTCACACCAGTTTTAACTTCAATTTGCTCCAATACTTTGGTGACAACGTTCTCTTCGTGAAGTTTTTTGTCCAGATCATCGATTATCTTCCGGATAGCTGGAGGCATGGACATGTCTTCTTCTACAAACAGGCCAATTGTAATCACAAACCAAATCCATTAGATTATGCAGTCGTCACAATTATACATTTTCATCTCTTGTCAGACAATCAATAGCCATTTTCGTCTCCACTAGCAAAACGTTCACGAACTGCCAGAGACATTGATACATACCCTTGCAATGCACGATCGACCGGTCAAGCTAAGTCGAAACTCATGAAGCACGCAAATGAATTTTCAACATTTCAACAATAACGTTTATTTTCAAATGCCAAAGAGAAAAAGCTATAAAACATGCTCACACTTGCTGCTCAGTTGAGGATTAACATCGCTTATAAAACAACTAAAACTGCACGGTTGACACTTGCTCTGAATCTGTACACTCAGAAAAATCAGCATAAACTTGTACGCAGAAAATTTGCCACCTATCATTGCCTGTTTAAGAGAGATCAGTTTAATAATAGTAATAAGTCTGTCACTACCAACCGTAATAGGCCAACACTAGAAAGATTACACCTTATTGATTATTACCTCTAGTCTACCAGTAAAATATTCAACCCATCACCCCTCCCTCCATCTCTTCCGCTCATGTGCATGAACCGATGGTATGTCTGGCATCTATGCAGATTCCGTAGCACAGTTGCGTTGTGACGCTCCCCATAAGCGATGTTGCTGACGAGAATACGTGGCCGATACAATGATAATATTTGTTCTGCTTTCAACCATTATGAAACAATGCATTGACAGAATAATAAAATCGATGCCAATTTGCACTCCCATAAAAGATTTTTAAAAATACATGCAATTAAATACACTGCTATATTTGTGGATGAAATCTGCTGATCGCTATGGATTTGTTCGGTTACAATAATTGGGATCGTCATGTGTTATTGATTTAGAAATACTAATGGTTAATATCAGGGAGAGATCACTTTCAGTAGTTACTTCTAATGAATACTGAACATGTGTTGATTCGATCAATCGACGTATATTTCTGGGCTTCTTTCGAGCACCTGTCCCTAAAAATCACTAGGCTTATGGGAAAGTAGCCCTAAACCTCTATGGTCACCAAATCAACAATCAAGATTTGAATTTCTTGAAGAGAGACACGTTCCTATACTGTTACCGTTAGCTATATGAACACAGAATGCCGAGAAAGGAAGAGTGTGGTATAGGATAAAAGAGAAGCATGAACTTGTAATGAGATATAATTACCAACTAAATAAAAATAAATCGATGGATAAGAATATTATTTTTCATAATGATTCTAAGTAGTTCACAAGAAAAAATGCAATTTCAAATTAGTTTCTTACGAATGAACAGTTCGAAAATACTTGCTACCACACAACTCAAAATATTTGAAGAAGAGTGTGAGAACTAGGTGAACAACTGCTTAACGAGGGGACTCTAAGAAATGTCTAATAGTTTTAGATTATGTACTGCTGATTGCCGCACCTGAGTATGTAAACAGCTTCAATTGAACAACTACTTGATCCCATAATGCTGTTGATGACCCCACTGAACACAGATAAACATTCCTTAAACGTTTCAAGTTTATTCACTGACAACGGGCTTTGCACCAACTTCAGCGTAAGAAATAGGCTTTTCTGGGATCTATTCGACAATCATGATAAAGTCAACTGTTCTTACTCGAACATTATCGTAACAATGAGCTGAACATAACACTTCCAGAATATGGGAGTTCATGACGCAGTTCCTCTGCTGAATCGTGGATCAAATGACTGGGGGTGATGATGATCTTCTACTGATTAGAAATGATTAGTGTTAGACACCATCGGAGGAAAATTAGATGAACGGACTTGAATCAGTATATGAACAGTTCAAATCTATTGACTCTAACGAGAGGTACTTTTCAAAAGACACAATTTTTCACCAGAACGCGTTATACGTCGTATTCTTGGATCGTTACAGTACGAAACTTGTCAAGTGTACATTCAAAACGATACACGACTACGTGTGCGCTGTCTTAAGTTCACTTTGAAAATAATATTTTCCTTTCCACTCTGAGAAAATTTACGAATTCCTTCAGCAAATCAGATGATGAAGAATAATTCAGCTGAGGAAGGAAAGAAGGAAACAAAACAGATCAACAAACTCCTATCTCATCAATCAACTAACTGCTAGATGTTTACAATTTTGGATTACGCTTCAAAATAACGACTCAATCAATTGTTCATCGATAAATGAACATAAACTAGAGTGAAAAGATAATCAATAATTCAAACAACTAAAAAATGGAAATTTGGAAAAAGACGGACACTTTGACATTCAAAAAGTATAACGAATAATGTATGAAATGGATGCCAATAGTTGATTCAGTCGAAAATTAGTCCGATACGCAGTTGATGAATGCTGTCGCTCGCTGATGCTGCACGCAGTATAAGAGCATAAGTATACTACACAACAGCATAATAATCAAACAACATCAACAGCTGAGCGACTACTGAATTGCTTTAGCTTCAACAAGCAAACCATCCGTATGCTCGTGATCTTCGACTATACGAGCATCAGCATTAGAGGTATTGTTGTCTGGATTGCAGACTCAAACAACCCATTACACAGATTCATTATGCTATCTCAAAACAAGCTTGAAGCGAGCTTGCCATGATGTGCATGTGATGTTGAATGAAAAAATCTCTCTTTCAGTCCAACTCTATACATTCAACACATCTCTTTAACACGCTTTCACCAGAAGCGTTGACTGCACTCAGCTGATCACAACTAGGGCTTGCAAAATCCCGACGATTTTTCAATCCCGGGATCGGGATTTAATCCCGGGGTCGATTTAATCCCGGTTCAAAAGTTTTTCGATCCCGGGATTATCCCGGAATCGAAAAACTTCTGAAATATCGATGTGTGACTTGTTTAAACACATTACCAATATGTTCATAATCAATCAGAAAGGAGTTAATTCAACAAATTATTGAACAAATGCAAGAAAAGAAATTATTCAAGTTCAAATTAATATTTCATATAATGATACCAATGGTCATGCCGCAAGGCATAATGCAGTTTCTATGCTAAGGCATCTTGTCATCTCGGGTCTAAGCTAATAACAGTACACTTGCATGTGAATATGAAATTCTTGATTCTCAAACACCTATTTGCAATGCTCCAAGTCCATTCTCTGGCATTGTTAACATCAGATGAATTCTGGCATTTCAGAAATTTCGATTTTTTCTAAAGAAATGCATCGCATAAATTGAGTCGTTTGAATTTTGAAAGAATTAAAAGTTCAGAGTTTATCTAAAAAGTAAGCTGCATCTCGGGATCCTGTGCAAACCCAAAAATACATCCGCAATGTATTTTCATCGAACCATCGAGCAGTTACGTACTTACTATTAATAAGTTCGGTCAGAAATCATGGAAACGTGCTTGTAATATCAAGCATTTGAATTAATGCTTAAGATCCATTTGAATGGAACAATTTCGCTCACTTCAACAATGAATTCTCATTATGAGTGATCTCAGTGAGAATTTATGTACATTTGGATAGAACGAAAATGGTAGATGGAATATTGAAGCCAAACAAATCGCGTGGAAAGAAACAACTTAAAATTTTGTTGCTCTTGATTCTCACTAAAAAATGTGATTATCTCCGTGAGTCTACATAGAAATGCATGCAGATGAGCGTGACATAAACCAATGAAGAGCAGAATAATCGGTTGAATGTTCAATGAAATGTTACGTAAAAGTTCATCAATGCCATTAGTCTGACGTGCATCTGTTTCCCTGACCATTCATCAATGATGAGTGGCAAACAACAAAGATGACTGCATATGAATGAGCTGGGAATGAGTATAGCTTGCTTCAATATGGGCAAATTATCAAAATTCATGCAAATTGACCTGCTTCATCAAATCCCGAGATCCCAGGATTTTTGAAAACTTAAATCCCGAGATCAAGATCGAAATTGAAATCCCGAGATCCCGGAATCCCGTGCAAACCCTAATCACAACTCCTCTTGATGCTGCTGCCAGTGAAGATAATGTAGCTAACAGGAAAGTGCATAGCTGATCGCAATGCTATTGTGGAAAGGTAGAAGTTGGGTGGATATAGATAAGTAAGCGGATGAATAGATATAGTTTATGGCACTCTTCTAATTTAACTGTCCCCCGTCGCACTTTGAGCAAAAAAAAGGCCTAGTTTACGCATTAGGATACTCTCAATAACCTCTCGGACGATTGGGTTTGTTTGTAAATTTCGAAGCATAACAGGTAAACACAACAAAATAGCAGAACCCAAATCCCACACATACAATCAATCAACTGAACCATTTCATTCAAGGTCGAGTTTTCTTTTGAGTTTATAAGAAGCAATCTCAGAGGATAATTTCATGAGACAATGGCATAGAAATGATACTAGTGATTGTATCCGATCGATGGTCGATCTGAAAAATCCGAAAGTTTTAGTCGGAATTCCGACATTCAGATTCCGACCAAACAATGTTGGCAGTCGGTCGGAATGCCGACTGTTCGCAGTGTTGAGATGTGAATTCCGACCGACTGAAATTTCGTTCGGATGCCACCACTAAATAACGCGTTCATGCGAATCACTAGCCAATATATTGTCACCAATTTTACAGCTTAAGTGAATGGATTTCGAACAGTGGCGTGTTATAATTGCGGTTAAGTTTCGATTCCCAGCAACTTCATCCTCAACACTATTAGTAAGCAATAATGATCGACAACATTCGATGCACAGAATTTTAGGAATACTAAGTGAAGTTTTTCTTGATCTGTCAAAAATTGATAACGATTAAATCAGAAAACAGTGCTGTTCTTTGCGGAGAAGGATTTTTGCACATGCTATACACTTGCATATCGACACCATGCAAAATTGTTGTGAAATAACGAGCTACTCAAAGCTTACGGCTGCAGGTTTGAGGCAATGATCAAAACACAGGCAAGTGAGCTTTTGATATTCCATGTTGTGTTTACTAGAGCTAATGTTAGAAAAATAATTAACACTTAAAGCAGTCGATCAATGAATGCGTTTGTCTTTTTTCAAAGGCGGTTTTTGACGATGAAAAAAAGAGTGGACTGATAAGATGGTGATCATACCCGAGATTCGGCTGAACAAAAGTGAATTAATTGCTTGCTGGCTGAAACCAATTATAAATGATGCGACGCTACTCACAACTGCAGTATATAACAAGAACATAGCCAGTGAACTCAAAAGTATTGGCTGTCGCGATGTACAGCTGAAATACTTCATTGTACTACTGCAAATAATTGCGATGGAAACGAGCTGATCAAACAAATTTTTATATTGTTTCAATCATTGATGTGATCATTTTTAGAAATTGTGAATTTGAAATTATGCACGTACTGATGAATAATTCTAATGAAATCGTTTTTTAACGTCAAAATTTAAGGTTGGCATTAGAAATGTCATTTTCGTCTAGGGCCAGGGTTTTTCGACCAGACATGCGAGACACGGTTTCATTCTTTATACATGAAAGTAGGCGAGAACGAAGTTCAACGCCTAAATGGGTGTAAATTAGGCAATACTTAAAAAATAATTCTTTCGGTTGCGTTTCGTTCTTAAACAAATTATTGTTGTAGGGGGTACAAAGGCACCTTCGAATTTTCTACGGGGTGTGGTGGTGGGGGGGGGAGGGGCAAAAAAAGGTTGAGAATCACTGGTCTAGGCGTTCGTATATTGCTCATAACAACAACTGCAACAATCCATTCACTTTCGCAATGAACTTACAATTGAATTAGCAAATAACAAGAGATCCATCCGGTAACATAAGAAGCACGTAATTACCGCCATTATCACAATCATTTCAATACAAGCTGTATGCATCAAATCAGTACTGTATTACAGTATCTACTCAATAAATGCAGTCATACACTCATGAGCATGCGTATTTGTAAATGTTCACATTCTCGTTTCAATCGATCCGATCAATTATGTACTTTATTTTGCGAGGTCAACAAGGAAAAATCAGCCAAATGAAATGGAAGGAAAATCATGCGAAGGGATACAATAATCTGAAGAAGCAAAAATTATCGCATCTTCATAACTAACAATCTCTTTAACTAAGACTTTTTCCAGACAACCGTCACGTCACATAAGATGGGAAACCATGATTTCATCGATTATTTCGAAAATTTAACAATACAAATCACCTCCGGGAACAAAAATAGACGAAAAAATAATTTGCGATAAACCCTCACGAACCATAACATCAATGAGAAGACAGCGGCTTTATTCTAAGCACACTGTTTTAGGATTCAAAAATACAAGTTGCATAGACAGTTGAGATGAAAATGAGCAATAAATAACCACAAAAAATCATATTTCAGTAATCTTCTTATGCTAAATTGTTCAACAACGAATGTACAACTCACTAGCAAAGATGGAGAATTTCAGGTTTCCTCGCAGTACATTTATTTCGATCTATGTTTGAGACGAAAACATGCTTACAATTTCAAAAAAAAAACTTTAAAAGGTATCACACTCGTATTCAAATAGTAAAAAGCGAAAAACGTTTTAGTTTATGCATGAAAAGTGAACGCATACAAAATAGCGAATTTTAAAAGTAACTCGAAAATTATACGGCCGAATCGACCATATCCATATCACAGTGGCACAAAACCATTATCCATCCAACCGTCTTGCGATGATCGTTTCGAACATTCACAACACACCTGTCATAAAATTTTTGAGTGTGTTAAAATAATTTCAATTCTAATGAAATACTTCTAATGCGAAATGTGTCCGTCAATTCCAAATGAATATTCTTTACCGAAATAGATTTCATAAGACATCAAGCATGTGCGGAAATCAAACTTCAACTTGACTTCTGCTTCCAGAAACACCAAAATTTCCAGTCAAAATATTCTTTCACTTTTTCTCGTATTTTCACGACATTCTTCTGCAGACAAACAATTCCCTTGTAGTGAACGATGTGCGTTAATCCGTTTCAGAATGAAGAAGTGAATTCTGCGAAAGACGACAACATGTTCAATGATAACAATAATGAGGATAATAGCTAAAAATGAGAAAAAATTACGTTACTTTCTCAGTCATCAATTCAGTATTTCCATAAAATCGAGCAGACTGCATATCCTACTGCAGGGCATCAAACAAAATTTTCGATAAGGCAATGAAATCAACTAAGATGAAACAAAAAGAAGTTTTCACATGCCTGCCAGTTCAGCGCCACACTATACACTATGTTCATTCTATGATTCCTGCTACCTCTCTCGATCAATTCAGAAAATCGTTGATTCAGAATGTATGATATAAAGAGAAATCTGCATTTTCCTAGCATAAATTTCACTGAATATTCATCCGAACTACACAAAGTTCGAATTCAGATGTTATAATGTTCGATGACGGAATGGTATTTGGTTATGAACTAGAATACCTCAAGAACGTTACATCCAAATATAACACAACAGCAATTTCAGTTCGACATATCAGTTGTCAGAACAACACATACGCAACATAATCATAAGTATCACCACTGACATCATCATGATGCTGCTAAATGAAGTAATTCCTCCATATCGGTTACAAGTGCAATTTGGTCAGATGCTACTTGACTGGAATCAGCAACTGATGTAATCAGAAGTATTCTGGTTTGCTTCAGAAGGCTTTCAATCAAATCTGATGTCGGCTTCGAGCTGCTGATCGTACTGCAGTCAATGCTGTTTGTTGTTTCACTATTCAGACACAGCGATAATCTGCAATTATTTTATAGAATGTTTCGCGTTCAGCTCAACAAATAAATTTTCGAGCTGTTTCGTTATCGAAACTGAAATAATTAAGAACAACTCATCAACAAAATATTGTTTATTACGAGTTTCATTTGGAAGTAATGAAAAAAAAATCGAATAGTAAAACCTGTTTGTGAGCAATGAAAGTCGCTGAGCAGTTTCAAGTACGGATGGGTTCAACTGGACATACGTTCTAAAATATGCAATCGCTAGACCGAATAACGCATTCGCTAACTTGGCTCGCTCTTCAACTACGCAAATCAGCTTCTCTGCATCCGTTAATCGCTGTTCAGAGCAAAGCTTAACAATCTCCTGAAATTGAATAAGTTTCATCTTGATCACATTTTAAATTGCACTTCCTCAGAAAATAACTAGAATGAATCAATTCAAGCACATGGTCTATTCCTTTATAATTGACCGATTAATGTACGGATGAATGAAAAACGTGAAAAAAAAGCTTATTGAAACAGAATTAAATGCATTACAAAGCCAAATATTCTGATACGAAAACGGTTCAAGCGGCTTTTCAAATGTCTCATTATTGTTGTCAGATAACTGGAGAAAAAAAAAGTAATATTGAAAATAAGATTGCCCAACGAAGTAATGATAACATACACAAATTCTCAGAGCGTCACGATCCAACTGCCAGTCGCTAGCGAGTGTCTCAATCAGATTCCACTGATATTTTTGCTTCAATGAATCGATCATTTGTTCATTCTCAACCATTTTTGCAACACACTTTTCGAGGTATGATTGCCGATTGTGCTGAATTGTTGCAGGAACATCTGCGATTGGAATTAAAGGATGCGTGTGGAATGGTACAAAGAACGCTTTTAAACCAATCTCATCGAATAATGCGCTTAGTTTCAGACGAATATCCTCGTCACAAACCGATAACTGCAATCATTATGAACACAATAAAATACTTTTGAGCAGCATAAAAATATACAACATTATTCAACGCTGATACGTACCTGTAGCTCGATGACAGTCAACAAATGAATATGATGCAAGACCAAATGATAATTGACAGCTTTTTGTCGCGATGCCATGTCACTTAATGGCTCTCTGAAATGACCACAAACATAAGACGACTGTTTGTTTATTTCAGCAGAGAGTACTGCGAAAGCAAAAAAAGACAAAAACGAATGAACTTTTGAAACTTAGAAAGCAACCGACTTATTGGTGTCAGATTGTCGTTCTGGTGTCATCTGCGATAGGGCAGCCACAAAATCTTCATAACTAGTATGACAGCTTACGTAACGATCCAAATCCCGCACTGCATTACAGAGTAACGTTAACACTCTTCTGCATTCACTTATGAACAGCACCTAAAAGAAATCACAAATATTGCCGTTCAATAATAAATATATCCACACAGCTGAAACTGCCAATTCCCTCAGTTCCAGCATACATTCAGTCGTCATCCCAAACGCTTATTAGCAATCAATTAGTACTACGTTCAAAAATGCATTAATTCTCTTTTCCTCCCAATTTCTGTTGGTTTCACGTAAACTACAAATGAACAGAGTTACAGTTCGCCCAAATGAATCATCAGCTATTTGGACGAAATATTATGTGATCAACTTCATGATCGGATCTGATTTTATTGACATCTGTCACTGAAGCGAGAATCAAGATACAGAAATTGCGTAAATAATTGAATGAAACCAACCAACTGATTATCTGAAATACCAATTTGCTTCTTTAAAAGACGTTCCCGTGGAAAGCGACCTGTTTTACTGAGCAAACTAAACGTATCCATCGCCGGCTTACTCAAGAAATTCTGCCATAACAGCAAACATATTCCATGTTGAAGAGAAGGCGACTCGTTTAATAGCTTTAAATACCTAAGGGCATTCTGAAAAAAAAAACCGTTAATTCGATTAGTAACCATACATATATAAAGAACGAAATGGAGAAATTTTTAAAAATGTAATAAAAATGGCAAGAAACCTCAAATACGATGGCATTCGTTTCTTTCTCCTTGAACCACGCACTCATGCATTCCCATGCACAATCACACATCACCAAGTTTGTTTTCAGGCTCATTGGTAGCAATGATTTTAATTCAGCAATTGTTGCAAACCACTTCCCACGGTCGTGACATGTCGTTGCATCAACATCTTCAGGATTGCTCTGGCTTGAATCTAAGGCTGCATACAAATCCTCTGGAGATATCTTTTGCAATGCAGCCCATACAGCAACCTAAAGTGAACACGGATACAGAAACAACAAACTGAGGAACATTTGTATCTTCATGAATAAAAGAATGCTAGTTTGAACGAGCTGGTTAAAAATGTTTATCAATCAGAGAAAAACCATAATAAATCTGAACTCGTATAGAATTAGCGATTATGGATTATATGCAATAAAACAGTGTCATGGAATAGCCGAGTAAAACCTGCTCTCTGTAATAGGCACAACCACCGTTCAACAAATTGCTGATAGATAATGGCTGACAACTGGGTAGCGTTTGCATAAGAGCCATGCATTGCAGATGTCTCAGCATTAAATCCCACATCTCAACGCCCAATTCAACTTTATCCCATTCTTCTGATCTATTTTCTGGCGTATCACCTTCACATTCTTCGCAGTCCTAGAATGGAACATTCAACAACAATGCAACTACGTTAATCATATCACCCAAAATTACGACACGACTTGACACGGTACGAACGAGTCAAAATCATTACTTTGTGTTTTCATTTTCCATGATGAAGTAATATGCAAACATCGACTATAAATCTTTTTTCCTGCTAACTTAATATCGCTGAAACAGAAATGTTTGATCACTGTAATCACACATTATTCGAATATAATCGATAACGAAATATCAATCACCATGCAAAGATCGTCGCCACATTTATCGTTCATCGCAATAGCACGCATAATTAGGCACAATGAGAGTGCTTCCGCAATATGAGTGCTGAAAATGAATTTTTGATAATAACATTGTTCGATTCACATCAAATTGATTTTCATACACGGTAGTTGAAATGAAATTTAAGTCTTCACAACGGGACCCCGTTAAAAATACTCGAAAAGACAAACAAATAAACATAATATCATAATCATATCATAATATAATAATAATGAAAATAATAATAATAACAATATAATACAATAATGCCAAAAATAATTCTAATACTAATAATTCTAATACTACTACTAATAATAATAATAACCTGTCGATAATTTTTTGTTTAGCCATTTGAAGGGCAATTTGCGAATCAGGACATAACGCGACAATTTGTTTGCAAATGAAGAATACTCGAGGTAGGTAGTAAATTGGTGTGTTTTGCGGCAAGTTCAACCAATAAATACAGAACAATTCGAGTAGATTGATCTAGTAGTGAAAATTTAAAAATGAATTATTATTTGCTATTTACCGTCCATTTTTTGAATTCATAATTTCTTATCGGAATACATATATCGATAACTGAATCAGGATAACAGTCATGAACGATAAAGACGCAAACATAATAGCAACGTAATAATGTGTAAGGTCATAAATCAGTTTAACTCGAAATTGTATTACCTCCGATATACCAATGAGAATACGAATATGTGCTAAAAAATGCGACATTCTGCACCGACCTGTAAGCACAGACGAAAATATGAATTCTCCGAGTTGAGGAGTAACTTTTTGCACTTGTATATCATTCCTGGAACAGAAAATAATTGGGGAGAGATTATAAATGAACAAAAGGACGCAATCGATATGAGTGTAACTAAGAACGAAAACTCGAAAGTTGAAAAGATCAGACATGATGAACGAATTTGGGATGTTTAATTCATGGAATCGCTTATTTGTTTTCACGAACTAGACTAAAAGGTGAAGAATTCGTTTGAAAAACGATTGCCCAAAAACACAGATAACTTTCAAAGCTGACTTGTTCATTCAACCAAAGGAGAAATAATTGGAAATAGCTTCTTCAGAGAGATTATAAAGGTTGCACTGCTAAACAGACATCGCAAATAAGAGTTAAAAACCTAAGTAATATTAAAAATATAAATCAGATAAGTATGCAGGTAGACAGATACTCGTATCAAGTTGTAACTGTTGACTGAATCAACAAATAACTGAATAAGTGACGTTATCCTTATCAAATGAGGCATAAAATGATACCAATCCTCCGGTTGATCTGTTGTTGTTTTGCACGTTGGCAGTTGACAAGAAATGATGAAATGTGCTAAGAAATCAAATATATTCAACGCTTCTTCTTGAATCGTCTCATCATGTCTATATTCCAGACAACAACTGCAATTTACAACTAACATTATCAACTGCGTCATATCATCACCATCAAAACATCTAAAGCTTCAAAAAGAAGGAAACAATAGAAAGCACCTAAATCATGAGAACTAAAGTCATGAGGATAATAACAATAACGACAACAACAATAAAGAATATCAATCAACTTACTCACTGATACGTTTCATGCAAAGCTTCAAATCAGTTTCATTAAGATGAAATCTCTTATGTAATTCAGTGCAGTCGTCATGTTCCTCTCCAAAATCATCACATTTCGTTCGATTTGGTGAGTGCTTGTTCAGTTCGCTCAAATACGCAAACACATCAAAAAGTTGTAATATTTTCGCGATACGCATCAACAACGTTCGACCTGGCGTTGAACCTTTCTGCAGAACGTACTACATCATGTTCCATTCAACAGTTGACTTCTTTGCATTATCCAATCAACAAACGAACGCACACATAATGCCATCGCAAACCTTTCATAACTTTGAATCCATTTAATGCCATGCACAAGTCATCAAATGAATAATTTTCAACATTCGTTATATAAGAGCGATAATAATTGGGCTTACTTATAACCGTTACGATATTGACAATAACAACAGTAATTAAATGAAACTCAATACCAATTTTGGCTGTGAATCGATGAATTCGCGGATAGCGTTCGTCATCAACGCTAATTGTTTAACTTCAATGTGACGACGTTCATGTAACAACAACAAATCAAGCGCTCCATTTAGTGCAATTGTCGTCTTCAAAGAACGCATTGATTTCAACCACGCATTCACCTCATCCTCATCTGGTTTCGCGCTCAACTGCCGCATCTTTAGAAACAATCATTATTTTACAAAATGGTTATCAGACAAAACCTCATCACTTCAGAGACGCCACTAATTTCAGGGCAACAGTTATTGCATTAAAACGCTATGTCTACTAGTTATTTCCATGTAAGCGATGGAAAAAAATCATACTTCTGAAGAAAAAGAAATCAATATGGTAGGAACACTTGAACTATTGCCCTCAGTGATACGAACTTTGGAACATCTATCAACCAAACAAGATATGCAAATTAACCTCTCGTAAGATATTCTCATCATGAACAGTTACCATGCTTTCGTCCCACAGAGCCATACGGAAACGTGCATTAATTGACTGCAATTGTAGTATCGATGAACAAAGTGTTTCGTAGTTAAGAAAACAACAACAGAATAGAGTACAACGAACCCAGCGATTTTTTTATAATACCAGCTTTCTTTGGCTTTTCAATTCCAAAGAGCTAGTCTTATGTACAGCCTCCGAAAAACTCGATAGCAAATTTCTCCGGAATTTCTTGCAACAGACTTTATAAAATAGGCAGATACATTTGAGATAAGATTGCTTATCGCATAGTAGGTAAAACAAGAAGAACGAACGTATATGATTCCAGCTGGAGTGATGAAGAAGGCATTCGATGTGTTTGATGAAGTGCTTTGTCCACCTAGAAGTTGCTCGTTTAATCGTGGCACTCCCAATAATCGGCCGCGTCGATCAACATTCATCGCATAAACACGACGTCCATTCTGAATTTCATCACTTACTTCCCGCATTCAGACGTAAAATTTGTTATCAATCCAAAATTAACAACTGGCCAAGTACACTTAATGACTACAATAACATTACCTGCATTGACCAAATTTCCAGAAGACCTCGTCTAGGGGCGAAGATAACAAGAAACAAAGTCGTAGCGGATTGATTACGGTTGTCAGAAAACCTTTGAGTGTCATTTGGGTGAAGATTAGATGTGGATTCGATCCAAGCACAACGAGCATCACGATATCCTTTCCACATACGAACCATTCGTCGTGTTGATGCCTGACAATAAATTAGCAAATTCAATCTATCAACAAAGACGTCTCTGAATACACACATAACACTTGCTACAATACCATACAAATAGACTCACGTCAACAAGGACAACTCTCGCAACAGAGTCAGTTATGGCGAACAGGTTGAATTCAGCAGATGATGCAAAGATACGTTCACCATCTCGTTGTCCATCTATCAACAGTGATCGAACTGCTAAGCTCACACTGCTCCTGTTGGCTGGAATCGGAGCCGTTGGTATACGATCCTTCCTTGAAACCCCAATACCTAAATAAGAGCGAATGCCCCATGACGGGAACGAAGATGCTACTGTGGACCCTATCTGAAATTTTCAGCTGATAATTCCAACGCTTGCAAATGAGGCATAAATACATTGCAGCAAAAAACTACAATTTACTTTATCCTGACCACGATAAACGTTTCTTGGACAAAAAAGCTAGTGTAAAGAAGAAATAAATACTGAAATAGGAAAAAACATGCAATTATCAACAATCAACTTTAACATTCCATACGGCTGGATTCAACTTCAATAAAACAATATTACTGAAGAGATTTAAACTGAATGAGAAGTAATAAAAAAGCGAAAATACAGTCAAAAACGACATCGAACTATTTACTGACCTGTGATCCGATATTGTAAATAGTATCGGTAATTGCGTTTGCTGATGAGCCACCTTCTTGATTCCAACCGAACGTTACAAATGGATCTTGACCAGCAAACAAATATGTTGAATAAACTGGTAGCGCACTGCGCTCACACACTGCCTTCAATAAAAAACCAAATTCAGACATTAATATACAATAAATTAATTCTCCAAATGAATTCATGACTGCATATTCGAGATGAATTAACCCCAGTCAGACCAAAAGAAATGAAACAATCTACACGATACCATTCCGCTTGTGTGTCTAGTACGAAAATTTTTATTTTTGGAAATTACTTTAGGGCAAACAATTTGATTTTCATGGGTCACGTGCAATTATTTCTCATGGGGTCAAACTAAAGCAATCAATCAACTATACAATAAGCATAGCTCTGATTTTGCAAAAAAAATCAATAATGAAACCAAGGTCTACAACACTAACGACTTAAACAAATTAAAACTTGTTCTGAATAAACTGAAACTAACTTTAAAGCCCGCGGATGATACCGATGCACTAGCATAAAGATCGAACCATGCAGGCTTCAGAGGACCAACAACTGCAAAATCAGACACCGTTCCTTGGTGGAGGCCATCCAATTTCAGCTTCTCAAAATTGATAGGAACATTCGCTGCTATCTTATTTAAGTCACATTCACCACGAGCAACCTGCAACAATTATACATAAGTTGGTATCACAATCATTAGTTTGCATCCAACTGCATGCAAATCAAACATGGACAACATATTTCACCAGTTAAAAACAACAACTACAGCCTTAAGTTTCGTCAATAAAGAAATAAACAAAGAACAATACGAAATTATTCAACGATAAAAGTAACTTCAATTAATTAGATATCGAAATTCGACCTGACTTTTAGACGCTTTCAGCGCAACAAACAGTGATAATCCTTCGATCACCGTAATTCGTTTATCAGCCAATATTGTCAATTCTTGATTACCCGCCTTGATGGATCGACCGAGTCGGATCGCATCAATCGGCCTTTAACGTCCGTTTCAATAAGACGGGCATTTCTTTGTTCAACAAAAGCCGCAAAATTCAATCTGTTCGAAATGCTACACAAAACACTCCATAAAAAGATTTAAACTTAGGATTGAAGCATTAATTCTTCATTATATTCAACTACCATTCCACCAATTCGCAAGTTACAAAAGTGAGTAGGAACTACACTCATTTTCAACATGATGCAACCTGCACAACGAGCTCATATAATTGAATACATTATGAGAATCAATATCAAAAACATTGTAATGCGTCATAATGATGCGTCCATCGATCAAAATTTTCACTCACTTATAAGAAATATGCTCTGATCGAAGTAACACTCCATGCTCAGTGAAGAACCGCACATGCCCGGTACTTAAACCGATCGCTATTGCCACCCAATCGTATGCCGATGTCTCGGTTCTTCGATTGCTACACCCCATTGGGAGAAGACAAATACATCGTATATGTACCTGAATATACCATGAGTGTAAACATGAGCCAGAAAATTCTGAGCGTCTATAAGTAAATTACTTATTCATGAATAATTCGAAGGAATATTCGTAATTCGCAATATGAAAAATGACTGGAAAAAAACTTAAAAAGTCACAGAAAATCATCGCAGAGTATAAATATTGACTGACATTTAAGATGAATGCAAATCAACAAAAAGACATACAGAAATATCAGTGAAATGATCTGCTGCTGAAAACTGCGCAATAATTTTGTAGTCACCCTCATCAGCGATATTTCGTTCCAAAACGATGACCCTCTGTACGAGTGCCACAGCGATGAACTCAGCATTGCCTAAAACAAAAGCCGAGTATCTGAATCAACTAACGTAAAGTGATGAAGATTCGTTTTCCAAATGCAACGAAGGGTTGACTCGAGGAAAAATATGCACCAAGCTCAACGCATTAAGAAAACTCAACAGTACAGATTATCAGTCTTTTATGGTCAATCGTTTCAAAACACGAAGAATTGCAATTTATTTTTCGACTGAGATCCCGACAACCAAAGGATACTGAAAGAATCAATGAATTTAAAAAATTTCAAACGATAAACAGGTGAACGGGTCGTCATTGGAATGACTTCATTCATCATCTGGAGACGAGATTCACTTTCAGCCTGATTTATCGGAATAACATGGATAACATTTTAACATAATTCGTTGAACAGACGCAGATTTGCAACTACTTACCTGCGATTGCAATAAGTGCATTCTGAAGCCACTTCGCTGTTTTTTTATACTCCATGCTATTTCTTCTCTCCAATGAACTACGAAAATCGGCTTTATTGGGGATGGTATCCTTAAAGTCACAGAAAGTTTAAAACGAGAACTTCGAGGAGGAGATATCGGTTAGAGCACTTATGAATGATGAGAAATGAATCATGCAAATAATCATGAATCAAACAGAGAAGCAAATAGCAAATAGTCAAATCATGCAAATGAATCAAAAGCATGCAAACAGAAATCATGAATCTACCTGTACACTGAAATCGGTCCATTCAAAGACACCCGCACATCGTTCAGCATCAGTTAGCGAGTTTTCATTCTCAGCATCATCCTCAGATGCTTCTTCAACAGAAAGTTAATCAATGGTGGAAACTTCAATGGTATATATTTGTACAATTACATTACATTTTTACGACTACTCTAGAACCTTGATTCTGCATCATTTGAAAAGTACAGTACCAGTACTGAGGGGGTCATAAAGTGCAAATGATGTGAACTGAATTTCGGGTCTTTGGAAAATTGGGACCTTGAAAAAAGATCACAGCTAAATGAACTAACCATTGGAATTCGGAATCGATGAGCTTGCTTCAGAAAGCAAAAAACTTTGAATTGTATCTAGCTGTTCGCTCGTTAGATGACCAATTTCACGCAATTGACGTGACATACCTCACCAAATTTATTTGAACTGTTCGATAAAACTGCATTAACATTCACCTTTTCGAATGAACATTTACGTTTTCCTATTGAATGCAATGAATTACGAACGATTTTCTGAAAATGCAATCGACCCCTTGTTTTATTCCTGATCTCTTACGCGATTCGAAACATCTGATTTCATCGGAACAGTGGGTCTACGACAGATCCACTAGCGACAATTGCAAGCCCGACAGTTGGCAAGCCTGTAGTCGGTCACACAAACTTCGTTTAGGTTCGCTTTTTAAGCAGTGCGAATCATTGAGAAAGTTTTCGAAAAAAAGTTTTGATAGTATGATTTTTTTGGAAATTTTAGTTTCAGAAAGAAAGATTTCATGGAATTTGAATTCAGAAATTGCGGAAAGAATCACTGAGAAAGAATCAAACGCTTCCTCACTTTATCAACATTCCTCGAACCTCTTCTCAGTCACTGAGCTTCCTTATTCTATCCAATCTCATCGACAAAATTCATCTTATTTATCATCCAGTTCCGCGTGTCGCTATTTCATTTCTCATCATATTGAGAACCTATTGTTTGCCTCCACATGATAACTTCATTCGAATCCTGTTCTACAACGCTGGGTCGTTTAAGCACCGAACCCAAAACTGATGCTAAATAGAATGCAAAAAACT